ATCTAAAATTAAGTAATGTAACAAATAAACACACGTGCGGAACGTTTGTGAAATATAACATAAGTTAAAATCAGGTATGCTGAAATTTATGAAAGGTGGAAAAAAAATTGTATGTGGAAATTAAATAAAATATTACAATTAGAAACGTTAAGTATTAAAAAAATGACAGTAAATGAATATTTTATTATGAACAGAAACCTAAGAAATAAGTTAAAGTTTCAGGAAAACTAGAAAGGATAAAGTATCAGAATAAAATTGAGTAACAAAACAAATTATCTTGTAGTTTCATTTTCATGACTGATGAACTATCATTAAAAGGAAAGTCTTTTTTTATATTTGTTTCTTTTACATTGTTTTCAGAGTCGCGCATTGAATAATTTTAACACCATACTTAAAAATATATATCTAAAACATATAATTCACTTTTTCATTAATAGAGGGCAGCATCGCTATATCATCAAAATTAAGAGCAGAAATATTTCCCGTTGCCAATATATAAAAAAACTAACTTTAAATGAAAAGCAGGAGGTCTACAACCATCAGCAGTCTACCAACAACTCAACTCCACTCGAAACCACGCCTCCTAGTGTGATGACGTTGCCTTTGGCCCCGCCCTCTGTGATGTCATTGACCACGCCCCCTGATCCACTGATCCACCTGCCGCAGAACCCCGATTTTTATACTACTGATATTTCTCTCGAACTGAATTTTAGGCTTTAAGTGCAACGAATATGATATTTAATAAATAAAGGTGACACACAAAATGCTAAAAAAAAGTCCCTTTGGACGTAATTTAAAAATTTGAAACCTTACAGAATTTTTTAGTTGTATACATTTTTTTAATTAATTTTTTCTTCACCAATGTATGCTTACAAGTTTTTCCTTAAAATTTCCCCGTGTCATCCTTAAACGATATGCATGCCGTTGACTTTATTTTATAATAAACGTTTCAATTTGTTTTTGTTAATTAATTTTTGCCCAGTATTAAGGAGAAATGATGCTATTTTAATGTGTATTACATATTGTTGCATTTGATCTCTGTACATCCCTATTTTTAACACAATAGCAATTATAATTTGTTTCCACAAAACGATTTCTTTAGTTATTTGAAAATTTATTAAATACACCTGATAGTTTCTCAGAAGAACAAATATTTGAAGCTATAACTTTATTCTTTGTTGTAAACAGAAATGTGAGTTATATTTACGTTTGACAAATAATTCCTTTCATCATTTGGTAAATAATAACTAATGTTTCCATTTAATTAACAAAGAGCAGTATTGTTTTCTTAACCTTTGTATTCTTTATGCGAAGGAAACTGCTCAGTAAACTGATCTTAACTTTTTATAAAGATTGATTTTATGTACGAATGAGCCAGAAAGCTCGTTCTTTCTCAGTTGCCTTTAAGTTTCAAAATGCACTAATGTTCATACACGTTATTCATGTTTTGTGAACAATAGAGTAGAATATTGCACAAATGAAAACTACGCGAATTGCTGCTCCTTACAAAACCGTTTGAATTTCTAACTACTAGTAAGGAAGCATTTGCATATAATACGGCAGATAAATTTCTATGTGTAGCTGAAAATTTGAAAATTTAAGTTTAAATAAATCTATTCTGTTTTAATGCAAATTAAAATTTAAAATAATATTAAAATTAATAACAAAAAGTTTAAATTTCAAAAATTTCAAAATTATAAAAATTTAGATTGCATAAAAACGAAAATCATAATGATTGTAAAATTAGCGGTGGCAACAAACACGTCGTCGAAAGCTGCCCGTTGACCAGTCCTTTGACGTTTGATCTGTCCTTTGACCAGAAAATACAGCCATGATGATTTAATGTCATTTATCATTCCAAAGATTATTAAGATTGCTCACGCTTCCGTGGAATTTTTAAATAAAAATTGAGAAGTATATAATCTATATAATTGTACTTTTTTATAATTTACTTTTTATTTTGAGTTGATTAACTAACTAATTATTTTAATTTCGTTTCAGATGTTTATTTAAATTTTAAAAGAAAAATAATCCATGGGTCTTACTGTTTCAGTTCATTTTCTCAATAGAATTTAGTCTCAAATTTTTCTAAGAGTTAAATTTTGTGTTAAACCTTACCTACTCTCCTGGGCTCATATCAAAATTTTTACTCTGAGCAGAAGTTTAATTAGAAAGCAGAAGTTTATTTAGTTAGAAAAAAATTTAAAAGCATGCGACATACAGCTGGATTTTAAACTCCTCGCTGAAGACACTTTTTCTCAGCACAAAGGTAAAAGGCGTTTATTTTTCTTCAACCACACACTTATGTTCGTTTGTTCCATAATTTGCTTCATGCAAAATTCCTCACGAGGCCCGTTTAGGACATAATGTATTTCTCCCGCCTTGTATGCATGCCTTCGTGGTGCTGTGGTCAGCACACTCGGCGCGTATTCGAGAAGTCCGTGGTTCGAGTCCTGGCGAGGGCATTGCTCATTTCTCATCTCTCCTGCTTTAAAAAAACCTAATGTCTCTACAAGGATTATTTCAGTTTACAGGAAATCACAATGGATGTAATAAAAATCCTGTATAAACACACAAGCATCAAAGAAGTTTAATCTTAACTGTGGCCTGTTGGAGCGTTCGTCCTATAGTGATGTCTTACTGAGAAAGAGTTCCTGTTGAATCTCTGGGGCCAGAAACTAAGCAACAGGTTGTGATGTTAGTACATAATTTTCAGCTGTAATGCAGACTGACCATGTATTTAATTTTTAATAAACTTTTAATAAGAAAAGTCATTGTTGTAGTTTGCTTTGTAATACCAAGTTTTAATGAACTTTTAATAAGATAAGTCATTGTTGTAGTTTGCATTGTAATACCAAGTTTTAAATGAACTTTTAATAAGGTAAGTCATTGTTGTAGTTTGCATTGTAATACCAGTTGCAAACTACTAGGAATGGCCTAATAAATTTTTGATTTCGATTTTGTTCTGAATTGCGTTTGCTAGTGTTTACAGTTAAAACACTGTAAAGGGTTATAACTTGTAAACATCTTATAATAATTAGATGTGTTTTCTGATGTGTTATGGGGCCACTTTGAGTCAATTTCACATCATAGTATTACAGGGTCATTTATGCTAATTTTTTATAACTACTCGGTCTTATGAAATTTGGTTTCTGGGACTTTGAATTAATTTTACGGAAGTGTTAAATTTGTAAGAATTTTTAAAAGTACTTTAATCATATGTTAAGAATCTTAATAGCAGTATGTATATATATATAGTATATAGCTGGCTAACTGTGTTTCTTGTTGGATCAGGAAGATTCATACTATAGCTATTCGGTAAGAGGTTTTGGCCAGGAGGGCTAGCTTGGCCCACAAAATTACTCTAAAAAATATTTCCTGTTTGATAGTAGGGAATCATTTACACCTAGAAATTAGGATTATCATGGTGGTTGGACTTGCACACAGACCTTACACAGCATGTGTTTGTAAAGTCATAATGCAACTTCAGATGCCAGTAAATTTCAGTATACACATGACGATCGAAATGTACTTTAAACTGCATTTTAAAAGATTCTTGTGCATTTTTCAAGTTTTAATATCGTTTAAATATCCGACGATTTGTGAACTATAAACATTCCAGACAACTGATCGGTAGGAAGGGACCAAATGCTTGATATTTTTTGGTCTTATTCTACATGACTACTATTTACATGATCATGATAAAAGAGTTACCTGTTCATAAAATGCACAGGAGTTTATAATTAGAATCAAAGAACAAACAAGCAACAATTAAGGAATATTTTCAGTGAACTGAAAGTTTTTTGATGCGTCATGATAGGTAACCAATCATGGTAAATGACGAAATCGCAACATAAATTTTTAAATATTAGTGACGTTTTTAAATTACTTGTGGAGATTCATTTATTTTTGACTAATAGTTAATTTTTAGTTAAAGCAACTTTTCTTTTATTCCCCTTTCCACCCCCTTTTTCCTGCCAGAATGCTAATAAGATAAAGCGAGTTTATTCAAATTTAAGGGAGAAAGAAGTTCTATTTAAGCGAAGTTTTTGGAAGCTATTTTTAAAACTTATGTTTGCTTGAAGGCCACATTTTTAATTTGACTTCGATTGATTAATTTGATTTGGATTCGATTCTGTGGCATTGAATACTTCTAGCCATTAAGCTTGTTTTGAGGACTTCTACGAGTCAGAGACTACTTCTTGCGCGCTTAAATTATCCTGTGCTAATTTAATTACATTTTATTTTAAGTTTAACATTACTTGTTTAAGTTAAGCCAGAAATATTGGCTTACGTAAACCCTAGTGTGCAACTATACGTGATTGAATAAAGTGTTCTTTACACTCTTCTTCTTAACTTTGTCTATTGTTTTAAGACCTGAGGATGATTCCTCATGCAGTCTTTCTAGAGCTTATTAGTTTATACTACCAAAGAATACGACACTCTATATACTATTATAATATATATAAAAAAAATAAATAATAAATAAAACATTTATTTCTTTTATTAAACGTTAATTAATATTGTATTATTAATCATTAGTTCTTTTAGAAGAGCATTAGTTAGTTCTTTTAGAAATCATTAGTTCTTTTAGAATAGAATATTGCATACATATTAGGTCCACTAATGCAGAAGAAAGTAATACAGCTGAGCACTGGTAATTTGACATGGGTTCGAATGTCGGCGAAAGGACTGGCCGCATGAATGCTTAACAGGTTTCATCCATGTCTAGCGGTGTTTCCGTGGTTCATTTGTAAACCACGGTTCAAGCAGTTTCTCTTAAAAAGAGTTTCACGAAAAGATTCCTGCTCTAAGCAGATCACCCTCGCATGTTTTGAAATATTCACTAAATATTTTATATATATGTACTATTTTAAATATTCTTCTTCATCATCATTTCTTATTGCACAAAAAATACAGAAAACAGTCATAACTGCTATAACAAGAAATATGTAAAATAGTTAAAAATACGGGAAAGAGATGGAAAATAATAAAAATACCTTCACACTTTTTGCCATCCGAGTGCAGCTCGTATCCAATTCTGCATTCACATTTATATCCACCGAGAGTATTTGTGCACTCGTGCTCACATCCGTGGTCGCCCTTGCATTCATCTAGTTCTGTCGAAGAGAGGGGAAGAAAATTAAAATTAATACGATTTTTTCTCAGTCAAAGAAAAAAAAAAAAAAAAAAAAAAACCCAATATTTTAACTTTCTAGGCAATTCATTTTAAATGATTTAAAATTATGCAAATTTCTACGTTAGATTGCTGTTAATTTTAAAGAAATGTCGTTTGCTTTATGAAAGAATCTGACGTTAATCGCTCATCTTCAAGGCACTCTTCTTCTGACTTTGTCTGTTGTCCTAAGACCTGAGGATACAGAAGGATAACATAAACGTTAACGGAAATAATAAATAAAAAATTTGAAAACGTTACCTTGTGTGTAGCATTGATATCAAAATTAGACTAAAAACAACAAATATTTGAAAATAAATCCTACCATCAGCAGAACTTAGTCTCTGCGGTATGCTGGTCTGTTAAGCACAGTTCACACTTGATATTTAACGACTCTAACGGAGCTAACCGGTGCACGGAATACGGATTTATCTAACCTAGCTCGTTCACACTTACTGGAAACGTCCACTAGCGACAGCCAATAAGCGAGCAGAAAATCGTGTGCGCTTTCATTTGTTTACATTTCGTAGCTGACAATGTTTCGCATTGGGAAGCTGCGTGCCGCTGCAGCTGATTTCAAGATGGGTCGGTTGCATGGGCCGACTAGCTCCGTATTGCGTGGAATTCAGAATTTTCAGCTGAGTCCGTTGTGACAAAAAACTGGTTTTTTCTTGCTCATTGGCTGTGTCGGTTGCGTCGGATGTGTCCAGTAGCTCCGATACGTCAGTGTGAACGGCCCTTTACACTAACCATTGCACCACATATATAAGTAATATTTATAATTCATTGCATTTGTTTCGACAGAATGTAATCAAGCTTTATCAAAGCATCGTGGCTAATACTATCGCTATGTAATGTAAGCTGTAAACCACAGAGTGGAACTTTAAATGCTTTAAAAGAAACATCACATGGATCTTTGGTTTTCTCAGTACGACTAAATATATCCTATGCTAGGCAAGTCTGAATGTAACGCAAATGTGTTATGAATGTGAAAGGCTAAACAGAGTGATTGAGCTAAGCATGTATAAACATCTAGAAGCATCAAATTGTACTAAGACAAGTCTGAATCTTTTAGCCATGCAGGATCAGAGACACCATCCGCATGTATTATGAATGTACAGGACGGACGAGAAATCAAAGAAAAGCAACTAACAGAGTATGAGATGTACTGAGGTTACAGGAAGAGTTCAAAGTTGCGTCTACAGAGGCTTTTCCCGCATTTTTAGAATGGCTGCGATAAAAATTTGAACAAATGCAAATATTTTGAAATAAAAATTTCTGACAACAGTTTATTATTTGAAATGATAAATATCGTCTGCGTCTTTAAAATTTAGCCTCCTTTCAAAATGTCGCACGTAAACAAACTGAGAAATGAAGGATATGTTTTTGAATTTACCGAAGACAAGTATTTCTACTACATAAGTCGAAAACTTTGTGAAATTCTTATTAAAATTTCGAAGTGCAGAATAAGCAATATTATTAATCGGATAGGGAAAAGCCGTCAAACATTTTCCATACGGAAAGAAGACTCAACGAATACCGGTACTGCTCCTAATGTTTCGGAAGTTAAATCTTCAGTAATAAGAAAAAAAATCCATTAAAAAATCTAAAAACATAATTAAATATGTTTATGCAAAAAACATACTGCGTTGAGCCACTTTGTCAAAAGTTTCCTTAAATTTCGCTGAGGTATGTGGCCCAACGCAGATTAATTTGTAGAACCATGTATGAAAAAACAGTTTAGCTGGGAATAAGTAGAAATAAATTGTAACTCTTGATGAAGTATGATTTTATCGAAATGACTTACAATAATAAACGTCTTCTTATTATTTACAATGAAGAAAAAAAGGGTACAAAACCTTGTTCCGTCAATACAAAAAAAAAAAAAAACGTTTCAGTAAGTGGTTTATGACTGGCGCAGGATTTTCTTATAGTAGGAAGTTGAAAATAAAAAGAATGGAGGTATATCAAGAAAGAGTTAAACGTCCGATATTTATAGAAGAAATTTCATTTCTTTAGTTAATAGACTTTCAAAGAGTGAATCTTCATCAAGTAAATCATCAAGGTAAAACAAAAAGTCATACTTCGAAAAATACCATTGCATTTCTTGAAAAATGAAAACTTAAGCAAGTATTCAAAGTACTGCTGCGTAGTTCCCTCACGTTAAACCTATGAACTACTGCCTTTCTTCTCTTGAAAAGAGATCTTCTAAGCGCAGACCCACCACAGTTGATGGATTCTGGAATGTAGTGGAAGAGGAATGGAAATCAATGCCCTCGGAAATTTTTAGAATAAAATAAAACACTCGCTTAACATCGTACGCGCATGAATTCAGGTACAATCTGAAATATTCTTCACGTACTTTCAGACTTCTGAAGGAACTACAGAAATGCGTGCCACAAGATCCTGATGACTTTCATTGGGAAAAAGGGCTTATACCAGGCCTTTAATATAACGGCAGAAGAAATAATTCAAGATAAGATATAGTAATGAGTCCGATGATTTTCGAGGTGTTTCGTCTGCAAACGATGGTACCGTAAAAGAACAGATAAGCAGTTTTACGGCCGAACAACGCCATCTAGCGCATAAAAATGGTATGCTAATTTCTATAACTACATAATTGTCTGGTGATTTCTTTATATGTTATTTTATACTCTACTATGTATTGTATACTGTGGGTCAGTTTAATTAAATTCTACATGTAACGTTCTGAGTAATCGTCAATTTTGTGAGTTTTGTGAGTCAATTTTGTGAGTTAATTAATGATTAATGATAAGCAGTGTATATTAATATTTCTTCCATGAAGGCTGATGCACGATCTTCGTCAATGGCGCTTACCTGGACAGATAAGCATACCTCGGGTCACTGAGTTGGCAATAATTAGCTTATGGTCGTTTTTGTATAATCAAGTGAATGTTTATCTCAAAAATGGTTTGGCTGTCAAACTTTTCAGTAGTGTTTAAATTGACCAACTTGTTTTTCTGCGCTTTTGTGCTGCCTACGGGACGCGTAACGATCACCTAAATCTTCATACCGCCCACAGGTGAGAGATATCCCCGACATTGGGAAAACATGACATAAAAAAAAACGCACTGATATTTAAAACCACCTAATCAAGAAAACGCAGATTAGCTGCATGAATAAACTAATAATCTTGATTAATAGATTTAAAAAAACCTAACTTAAGTACCTAATTTTACGTATAAAACACATCTTCCTTGCAGAATTTACGCCAAGTTAAGATCACCACGTTCAGGTGTCAGATACTACCTTCCAAGTCTATCATGTAAAGAGAAAACTGCGGGGAAAAAAAGACATCTTCCAACTTACATTTCTAATGAATAAATTTCCTGTTTCGATTTTATTACACTTCATCGTTATTCTTCTCTTTGAATGGGAAAAAATTTTCCACGTTATTCTTTGACAGTTTGGTAAAAAGAGGAGGAAGAAGGTTACTTTTTGACAGCTTATTTTCTTTTGAAGAAGAGCGTGTCACTAGTATTCTACGCTTATTCTTTCCGTTTTTGTTCGGATTTTTTTTTTTCATTTTTAACTTACTTCTTACATTTATTTTATTTTTATGTGATGTAAGGATTTAGTAAAAGAAAGAGAACCATGAAACATACTTTCTATTAAACACGGATTTGCTGTATCTAAAAGGACGCCGTTAGGGTTAAGAAATAAAATGAAATGCAGATTTAAACATTGACCGTTCTATACATTTATTATAAAACTCCAAATTAAAGACGATAATTATTCTAACTGTCTATTCTATAGTTTTTAATCTGATGAACCACAACTTTTTTAAATCATTTTAAAACATATTGGGCTTAAACCTTCTTAAAAAGTTAATTAAAAAATTTTGCAACCCGAACTGACACAAACTCGAAATTACAAAATTGCTGATTTTCTTAATTTATTTTACACATTTATTACGCATTAATTTAGAAGTCAAACAACAAAAACCAGCGTTATATTTTCAAATTTTTACAGGATTAGTTTCAATGGTTTTACCGAAACATCATCCTCAGCTGCAAAAGCGCAAATAAACGAGATAATATATGGTGATTGGATAAGATAAGAGAGAGATTGGACAAGAGTTAAGCTACTGGCGCCATCTGTCGATGAAACGAGAACTAAAACATACTTTCCTTAAAGGCTGAAGGCACACACGAATTGGAATTAGGGTCGTTAACTGGAACACAAAGATTTTTTTGAAAGTGAAATGCCTCTAGAAAATCTAATTCACCAGTGGAAGATGTTTTTTGAATAATTTTGGCTGCAGAAAAATTGAAAGTGTGATTTTCGGGCTGCAGCAGTAGCATACATAATAAATAGCATAAATAGCATAATTTATGCTACTGCAGCAGTAGCATAAATTATGAAAACAAAACATTACTCAAAACATATATTAGAACAATGGTTCTCGGCATTTTTTTATCCCATGAACCTCTTTCACCACTGCTCGAAGATCATTCTCCCCCCCCCTTCCTTTCCAAAATTCGGAAAAAATAAATGCGTATTACATAGATTTTGATTTTTTAAATGTTTTTATAAATTAAACAACAAAATACATAAACTACGTTAATAAATACCCAAACTTGAATAAAAGTAGATTTTATATTCATAAACTAAAACTAATACTTAACACCTAAATAAAAGACTGACCGTCTTTCCCTCTGAAGCTATGAAATTCTCCTAAGGTTAAGAATGTCTATAATAGAACTAGCTTTAAAGATGTAATGCACTTAAGTTGCAATTGTGTTCACAGATCATGCAGCTTTTTTTTTTATTTTTTTTTATTACTTCCTTGCAAGAAGTAAAGGAAGTATTGTTATCGCGAAACATGTTGAGTATCATATTTCAACGGACCATTTTGACAATTCTCGAACCCTTTTTGATTACTTTTTTACTTGACACCTACACACACGGACAAAATAAAGGATTCATTTTTCCAAAACGGATTTCAAATGGATTTTTTCGTGACGCCTGTACGTACGTATGTATCTCGCTTAACTCAAAACGCTTAGCCACAGAACGTTGAAATTATCAATATGGGGCTGCTGTAACATCTAGTTGTGCACCTCCTTTTTTTATTGCAATCGGCACTACCAAACGTATATATATATTATTTCTTTTTATATATTGGCATTTTTAATCTATGTTTATTGTACTTTCCTTATATATATTTTTTTTTCCGTCGATGTATTTTTCATGTGAGTTAACTTTTCACATATCACAACGGTCAGATTAATTTTCGTGCATTAGCAAGTCTTCCAGCATTAATTTTGGCTGTTTTTTCACGTGTTTACAAATTTTTTCCAGTTTTCCAGACAAATTTCTTCTTATTTATGTAATACTGCGTTAAAAATATTTCGTGGAGCTACAGCTCCTGGTAACTTTTTAGCAATGTTTCTACCTACAACTATTATTATTATTATTATTATTATTCCCTTTAACCGGCTCATAAGTCCTTATCCGGCCTTTATTTCCGCAATCGTTGGTCGCAGTCATATATTTCCCATTACAGAAATGTTTTAAATGACGAAAATTCGACAATTTCAAATTTAAAAAAAATTAATTTTGGCGAATAATGAAATCTAGCTTTTAATGCTGTCTGTCGGTTCCTATACGTATGCGTGGGAAAGTTTATTACTCGTTATGGGACTATAAAAATACAAGAAGGTAGATCCACGTATGATAAAAATTAGCTAGGCTATTTATTTTCAAAATTTGCAACTTTTGATGTCATTTTCAACTTGCCTTAAGAGATCGGTTAATTAGCCAGAATAATTCGAGGAAACAAGCTTAAATAATATGCAGCGAAAAGTGTGTATAATTTAATAGACCCTACAAGGTAGTCCTATGGTACCTACAGCAAGGTTTCTATATGCACAGTGCAGTCAAAATTTTAATTTCTTTTAAAGGAAAAGCAAAGGTATTTTTAATTCGTTTTCTCTCCCTTCCCCTTTATAATTATTAATTGTGTTTTCAAAGGAGTTTATTAAAATTTATGAAGTCATCGGCCCCTTTTTATTACCATATTCATTTTATTATTATCTTGTCTTAATATGCATGAAAACTCTGTTGCTTATTACATATGTTTTTTTTTTCTGAATAAATGATTTTTATAGCCGTTGGTCGTATTTAACTAAACCTGGACCAATGGAAAAGTTAGAGACTGTGAAGGAGAACGACCGAACTCGGAAATTATTAGACCTTATAAATAATACAATGTAGATACATATTTTTTTTACGCTCACCATTAAAACGCTACATTAAAAATTACTTTTAATACAAAAGTCGAACGGTCTCAGCTTCAAGCCTAAATATTAGGTCAGTATTACATATGTATGGTTGAAATCTAAAATATTCTACGTCGCTTTCACCTGCTCATACAAAAAAAATTTTTAACTTTTTTAATGCCTCGTAAGTTTCGCTAAAGCTCGATAACCTCTCTTGTTCATTTTTATCTATATTTATCGACAAAAAACTAATCCTGAAACCCCTGGAAACTAACAAATATATTCCTAATAATATGTCTACTAATCAAAACTAACAGAAAGTAAATCACAGAAGTTAGCAGAAATAAACTTATTGAAATCTGCAATGACGTAACAATTGAAAATGACCCTATGCAAAGCGTCACTTTTTTACTTTGTTGCCAGATTTACAGAACAGATAAAATGAAATAAACCAAAAATACGTATTTCACTTCCAATTCCCCTTCCCCAAATAGTGGTTTCAAGAAATGATGGTCTGTAAAATAATTAAAACCAATAAAATGCAATGGAATGATTAATGCAATAAAAATAATTATTAGAGAATTGCTGGACGCAAAAATAAAAAATTAGATATGGACGTCACGAGATCCTTCTACGCCAATTATACATATTTTTTCCTCCATTTCATTTAAACTTATTCGGCTCAATTTTTGCCGCGCAGAAATCAAATTGTTTACATTTTTATCTTTTCATTAGAGTCACAAATATAAATACCAGGATAGTTAGATCGCACTAAAAATTAGTTTTCCTTATTTTTCTAAAACTAACTTTTTTTTTTCAAATTTGAGACTGCCAAAATATTCATGTTTTCTTCAATTAAAACAGCTCTGTTTCTAAGGGATATATGTATTAGGAGTGAAACACACACACACCACACACACACACACAAAAAAAAAAAAAAAAAAAAAAAAAAAAAAAAAAAAAAATCTGATGTGTACACCACATGACTTCTTTGTACGGAATGTTAAATTATTTGCATTTTTTCTTGCATTTCGTTTAAACTTATTGGATTGAATTCAATCTACTTCGCCGACAGAGCATAAACCACAATAGAATAAATGCATTCTTTAAAATTCAATCTATTTGTTTACCATAGCGACACTCTGGCGATAGGTTCACTTAACAGTATTATATTTCGTTCATGTTATAACTCAGAATGCACAAAATTTATATCATTTAAAGAATTATCTAATCGTTGCCACATGTTCTATTGAAATACTATAATAAAGCTAGAATGATGTATAAGAGAAATTAAGCAAACAAAACAAGAAAGAAAATTTTCACATACGATTGAGTATTTCTCATTCAATTAGTTCAGTTCTCACTTCGCGACAAGGCAAAAATACATAAAAACTCAAAATATCTGTATTAAAAATTACGAAGTAAGCCTTAAACACTTATTTCCTCAAAAGAATTCCAGAAAGGATTAAGCATGATTTAATTCGGAATAATAAATGAAGGCGTTATCTTTGTTGTTGCGAAGCTATGTTTCTCTAGATTGGCAACAAATCCACTAGTCTGCTGTTTCAAATGTAAACAAGCAATGACCACACCATCAAAAAATTTATTAGGCTTAGCGGCACTTAAACAACTTTAAAATAGTTGATAATTCTAAAAATATTGCATACAGATTGACTAAAGACATAAAACCTCAACCGGAAGATAAGAACAACATAATTCAATCATTTTTAAAGCAAAAAATGTACAATTTACAAACATATAAGAGTAAAGAAACTGAGATCACTGAGCCGGGTAACAGAGAGGATATATATATAAATATATTTATATACGTTTGGCGGGGCCGATTGCAACCAAAATAGGAGGTGCACATCTACATGTTATAGTAGTCCTATATACAAAATTTCAACGTTCTGACGCTACTCGTTTTTGAGTTATGCGAGATACGTACGTACGTACGTACATACGTTCGTATAGACGCCACGAAAAATTCTTTTCAGAATTTATTTAAAAGCAGATTTATAATTTTTTTGGAGGAAAAGAGTCTTTTATTCTGTCCTTACGTACAGATATTACGAAATAACATCGTTAAATAGTACTCGAAAGCGGTCAAAATGAATATTTTCGTTGAAATATGCTGCCTGAAACTTTTCGCGATTACAATACTTCCTTTTTACTTCGTACAAGGAAGTAAAAAACGAGACTAAGTGTGTAGCTTGAAAACAGAGTGGAGTTGGTAACAACTGTTTTGGTGACGTCATGTTACACCTCCTCTATACATGCGGCCAGTTTCGATTTAACCCACCACGCCAGTGGAGTACTGCGTCAGTCCATGGTGTTTAGTGTAATACTTAATCAGCCACGGAGGAAACATTTCAGTTGTTAACCGAGGCTTATGGAGTTGAAGCTTGTCTCATTACTATTACAATATATTACAGAAAATCTAAATTATCACAGTCAGAAAGAGCTAATTAACCAGAATTTCGTCCAGAACACATAATATACTAAACCTGAGTATCATTAACATAATTTAATTGTACTCATAATGTACACAGCGATAAAGCATTAAGACGTAAGATCAGCACGTTAAAAGAAATAAAAATACTGTAGAAGATTTTATTCACTGGAGGAATAGATCAACATGGATTTTCGTTTGTCATTTTCCAGAAAAGAAGAAGAATATGTACAAGATGCTTAAATAATTGAGAAATTTTCTGTTTTTGGAGTATAAAAATGTATTCTACAGTTTTTATGAATACTTGAGTTGAAAAGCTCAGTTTAAGCGAAAATGAAATTAAATGTCCAACTAAAAGCGACATTCGCTGTTTTACCTGCATTTTCACGCGGTCTTTCACAGTGAGATGAAATATATCGCTTTACAGTTTAAAATTACATGAATCATATAGCACAGCGAGATTAATTACGAACATATAAATAAATTACAAAGAAAAAAAGGGTGGAAGCACAGAATTTCATTCTATCGAAAATATGTTTTTTTCCCCTTCATTACAGCACACAAAAAGTGGATATTCATAAAAATCTAATTTTTATACGCATACTTATTCATAATAATATATAAAGTAAAGAGAAGAAAAAAAAAAAAAAAAAAAAAAAAAAAAAAGAGAGTTCAGCAACCTTTAATAAAATCGGCTGCAAATCCAGCCTTCTGAACCGATCTATCAGACACAAACTTGACTGTCATCTTGTTCCCTGAAGAGCGGATATCCTCCGGATTCTTGTATCCACAAAACCTTCCCAACAAAGGACTTGTGCTCTCGTGTCCATCACGGATTTCCAAATAGTCATATACGCAGTTGTCATGATTTTCGATCTGCAGATAAAAGATCGAAACATAATAAAATATTTATTTACACAGCAATAAAGCCCGTTACAATAAAAAATACAAAGAGTTCGATAAAAGTGTTCTTAACCTACATTTCAATTTACATGAAACATTAAAATAATGAAATACTTTTAGGATGATAAGCGTGGGCATAATTTGCGAATGATCGATACCATGTGACGGGTTACCTAACCAACAAAATAATATATCAGAATCAAGCGACACGCTGCGAAAGAGGATTTAGAGCAATCATTATGAATAACCCTTGGCATTTTTCTCGTGGTTCTGATATGTGCTTTTGTTGTTAATGGCACATTAGTCGCCCTTTTGATGATGATTGTTTACAAATAAATAACTTGTCCGAAGAATGCGACGTATTGGACAGGGGAAAAATCGTGATTACGGCAAAAATCGTGATTCCCCTTTGGCATTCCGACTTAAGGTATTGACAGGATATTCTGTTGTTAATAGCGCACTAGTTTTCCTTTTAGTAATCAACGTTTTGACGATTGTTTACGGATAAAAATCCTACCAGAAAAATGTGATGCATTGGACAGGAACTTTGCAGAAAATTCATAACTCCCCTCTTTCATTTCTTTCATAATTTAATAGGTTATTTGGTTATTAATGGCATCACCCGTCTTTTTATTAATAAAAATGATGACGAGTGTTTACAAACTAATAACCTTATAAGGTATTTCTCCCGCCTTCTTAGAGAGCCTTCGTGGTGTAGTGGTCAGCACACTCGGCTCGTAATTAAGAGGTTCGTGGTTCGATTCCCGGCGAAGGCGGTTGTTAATTTTTCATCTTGCCTGCTTCCAAAAAATACCTAATGTCTCTTTACAACCTATAGGAACTCTGCGACGTATTGGATAGTAGATTCACAGTAAAAGTCAAACTTAATGATGCAGTCATATATTTGACTTGAGTTTTGATTTTTATGGTCGATGCAAAAGCCAAACTTCTTAATTTATATGATTTAATTTTTGATTTTTGTAGTCGCTGCAAGTATTACTTATTCTACTACTTGAAGTGCTCTTTGTAATTTCTTTCGGCATTTTATTATTTCATTTAAAATTAGTATGGTTCTAAAATTAGTTCTGCCCCCTTAACTTATCCATAGTTCAGTTTATTGCATATGCTAACTTCCTACTCTCAACCAGTAGTTAAACTCTGAGCCTGACGTCACAGCTACATCACCACAGCTCCTCCTACTTGCCATGCATAGCGATTTTTTGAGACCTGAGTTCAGAATCTTCAGACTTTCTGGGAATGATTTAGTGCTTGCTTCAACATCTGGAGTAACTTTTATTTCGGCGTTACCATCATCACTGCATTAGCCACAATAAGTTGCCATAATTTATTACAAATGCTATGCATAAGATCGGACAGAAGTCCTGGCGCCTGCGACAAATGACGGGTAACCTAAGTTATTTATGTCATGGTTTTGACAGGTTATTTGGTTGTTAATGACAAACTAGTTTTCCTTTTATTCATAAACATGATGATGACAGTTTACAAATAAGAACAATATGATAGGTACAAGTTAAAGAAAGGCTGGCACCTATGCATTTCCGAAAGTACATTACGTATCGCTGGGCCCTTGCTAGCTGCTAAGCTTCGCCTCAATTTTTAGACAGGTCATCGGGGAGGTTAGTACGAGGGTCTTTCACCCCTAATCCCTTAACACCAACCATTCGAGAGGACTTTCGGCTCACCGTGTATTTTGAGAGCCCCCTTGTCGCACAAACACTACCAGTATGTTTTCCGGGACTCGAATCTGGACCCATCGCTACGATAGTCATCATCACTGACCACAACACCAGCTGAGCGGTGAAAAATATACTATATCGGAAAGGAGAGTTAGCAGAATTTATGTATCCTCTTTGCGGTTGTTTCATAGTTCTGATAGGTTATTTTGCTTCAGCTGTCTTTTTATTCCTATGCATGATGACGAGTGCTTACAGATCAATCATAAACATTCTCATTTTCTGTTTTATGTTAACTCAAAAACTAAATATCTAACAACGATTTTCAGAATCCTCTCTATTGTTTTCACGACTTCGTTTAAAATTCTAAAACCTACAATGGAAAAAGTATTAATAGAAATTTTGTACTATTTCCAGAAAGTTGTTGCTTATTAAACAGGTAAAAGCTTATTAAACAAAAAGCTTATTAAACAGGTTAAAGGTAAACAGCGTAATTTAAAAATAGGAAGTTAATTTTGATGTAAATGCAATTTGTGCCCCGTTGCTGTTGCGTTGATTGAGAGAAATTTCCTCTTATTACGAGTGGCTCGCTAAAAGTAATGAAGTTGAGTTGCTACATGAACTTAGCTATAGTTTATACTACCTATTTTTTTGATTTTGAAATTAGGATACTGTTGAACAGTTATGAACCAAAGCAAGTCGTCTTTACAAGGAGAAGCCGTCATTTGACTTTGCATTATAATTTTAAGTTTGTAAAACCACTTGGACTGGACAATGTATATTTCTTTGATTTAAAATTTTACAGTTGTAAAGGGCGATAACAACCCAATCAGTAAGATAATTCTAAGATTAGCGTTTGGATGTAAGGTTAATTTAAATAAAATTCATAACTGAATGAAATGCGTATCAGTAGATGAGAAATGCACTTAAATTCTTTTAACATATAAATTCATTTAAGTTTTAAAAAAATATAAAAATATGCTTGCAGTGTTGACAGAAAAAGAAATCAAACACAAATCAGGCATAATAAGCAATTTTAAAAATTCTATTTAGAAAAAAATCATTTACGTTTCCATCAACAGATGACATGTTAAAAAATAATAATCAAACGCTTACTTTCAGTTGTTGCCGTACGTTAACAGTTACAGTTACACTGATACCATGCTTTATCCGGAAGGTGTAGCTCGAGAACATATTTGCGCAAGCTATGATATGAGGGTTTATCAAATTCCGTTTTAGAAAACATTAGTTTTCTTTTGAAGAGGAATAAGTATATCAGTATGGAAACAGGGATTTTAAAATGCAAGTCCTCCATTCACTGCTTAATCTGTTACTCAGTAATGAAAAAACTATATGTATGTTCCTGGAATATGAGGGCTGAGCAAAATTTGAGTACGCACAGTCCTGCACCCGAACATGTGCACCTCAAAGTTTTGAATTTTTGAATTCTTTTTGATTTATTTCGTTATTTGTACTAATTTTACGAATATTTTACTAATAAACTCAAGAAAATGTGCTGCCTTTGTCCGAAATAATATGTTTTCATCTTTCACCCTCCGGTGTGTTATCATTCGGCAAAACGGAAGATATTTAATTTTTCTTTCGAATGCAATCTGTTTGTTATGGATAAACAAACTAAGGGATTTTAAAAATAATAAATGCAGGTCTAATTATTAGCTAACTCTGTTAAATTATACGTGTTCCATCCATTAAAATCCTTATATATTTTTCCTTTTTATACATAATAAATAATTTTTGCAGGTGGCAGTGAAAGCGGGTACTTATAGTACCCGCTTTCACTGCCACCTGCAAAAATTATAAACTTATAAATATTATTACAATATATAATATTTATAATAATAGTAATTAATTATAAATAATTTATAGTAATAATATTTATAAACTTATAAATATTATACTTACTAAATAAAAACTATAATATAATTACTTAATGATAATGAAAATAAATGAAATGAGTAATAAAGTAGGTTTCTTTTTAATGCATCATATCAAAAGTCGAATAGTAACCAATTTTAACTAAAGATTCATTTAACTAAAATTTGTATGATTTAATATGAAATATCCTTTCATATGTTTTTAAAAGACGACTGAATTTCGATTCAGTAGCAAGGGAAAGTAGTTTTAATATACGAAAACTGGAAATGGTTTAGCACGGATTTAAATTGCAGAAATATTTCTTCTAAAGAGAATTTGACTTGTTCTCCATCTGTTAAATGGCACGAGACTCACCTCGAAAGATTGAAATTTCAGCGCCACCTGGTGGTTGTCTGGAACAGTTATTCTCCACGTGCATTCTTTATTGGGCCAGTAGTCCTCTGGGTAGTTGGGACTGTGAAGTATTCCTTTTTCTTGATACACGTCACCGCCACAAATTGCTGAAACGAATGCAAAGAAATATATTAATACCATACTCGGTTCAAATGCTGTAAGTTTTGTTTATTTAGCACGACTATGTATCAGATACTGCGACATTGTTTCTCTCGCTCCTTAGCTAACGATCTGAAGATCTAAAATCTAAATTTAAAAAAAAAAAAAAAAATATCTCAAAGGTTTCAGACTTTAACGGTTACCCAAAAGGTTTTGTTAAGTGTTGGCAAACATCGTATATTCTAAAGATATGCTGTTTTAAAATATTTTTAACCCAAAGGGGCGTTAGCCCAAATGATGCCAAAACGTATACGTCAAACGTGTAAATGGTCAAAAGTGTAATGTCAAGTGTGTAAATGAAAAAAAGTCCCTTTGCACGTAATATAAAATCTGAAAGCTTTAAGATGTTCTTTTACTGTTTCATTATTTTATTGTTGCTTCATATGTATTTAAAGACTTACTGATTTCTGCTTCGGCGGATTTTTTCTTGTTACTAAATATTTAACTTTACAGACATTAGAAATCTTACGTACCTTTTTTAGGTATTCGTTTGGAGTCTTTTTTCCAAGTAGAATAAATGATTTCCGATTAATAATGTTGCTTATTTTTCACTTAGAAATTTTAATACCATGCATTTGACAATGTTTTTGAATGACGGAATTTAAATATTTTTCTTCGGAAAGCGAAAAAACATATCCTTCAATCGACAGGTTTTTTACATGCGATATTTTTTGAAAGAAGAATATATTTAAAAGTAGCAGACGATATTTCTGATTTCAAATAATAAGCTGTTGTCAGAAAGTTTTATTCCAAAACATTTGTTTTTTTTTTTAAATTCTTTATCGTAGTGGTTCTAAAAATGTGTAAATACCCTCTGCAGATGTAGATGTATACACATATATGTATAACAATGGCTCTTACCCATTTATTTCATCAGCGTTACTTAAATCTGAAACGGATGATTAAAAAATGTTAAGGATTTTGGTAACACTTGGATTAGAAAAAATATCACTAAATGAAGCGGATAAATGCTAATGACTATACAGATAATATTCAGCATCATATTTTGAAAGCATAGATTACGTCTGTAAAACTGTAAATTTAATTATAGTAAAAGCTGTAATTTTTCTAAATTTCAATTTCAAAATATGGTTGTTCGGAAAGTAATTTCGTTTTTTTGGGGGGGAACATGAAAGACAATTTTCGTATAATGAATAAATATTTTATTAAATTATATATTGGCCATTCTGGTCCAACACCTTTTGCCATCTTTCTGGCAGTAACATGATTCTCCGCTCATAAAAGTTTTGGTCCTTGCTGGCAAAAAACTGATTCAGGTGGTTTTTGACATCTTCATTTGAGGTAAAGGTTTTACCATCCAAAAAATTTTGCAGGGACAGGAACAAATAATAATCGGAAGGCGTCAGATCTGGAGAATATGGTGGGTGTTGCAGTATGTCCCATTCAAGCTGTAAAAGCTTTTGGCGAGTGACCAAACTTGTATGAGGTCTCGGGTTATCCTGGTGGAACACTGCACCCTTCCTGTTGGTTTAATTCTGGCCTCTTCTGTTTAAGTGCATCATTTAAATTTGTACAGAGCTGATGACAATAGACTTCCGAATTAATAGTTGTATTGTCCGGTAAAAGCTAAAAAAAAAAAAAAAAGATTCCTTTGAAATCCCACCAAACGGACAACATCACCTTTTTTTGGTGAATGGTGGCTTTTGAAACGCTTTGAGCCGGTTCATCTTTTCTGCTCCATGACCTCTTGCGTTTCACATTGTTGTATACGACCCATTTTCCGTCTCCAGTAATAATCTGCTTCAAAAATGGATCATTTTCCTGACGTTTGAGGAGCGAATCACACACGTCAACGCGACGACACAAATTTCGTTCCGTAAGAACATGGGGCATCCACACATCGAGCTTCGAGGTTAAGCCCAGACCTTTCAAGTGGCCATAAACAGTCGAATTCAACAAATTTAACCTCTCACCGATCTCTCGTGTGGTTATTCGCCGATTTGCATCAACTAATGCTTTTATCGCATCTTTGTCAGCTTCGACTGGCCTTCCAGACCGTGGTGCATCTTCGACATCAAAATTGCCGGATCGAAACTTTGCAAACCAGTTCTGGCACTGGCGTACTGTTAACACGCCTTCTCCATACACATCCGTCAATTTTTTTCTCGCTTGGACAGCATTTTTTTACCTTTCTGACTTTTCTGAAGTAAAAAAGTAAAATATGACGAAAATGCTGCTTATTGCTCTCCATATTTAAAAGGGCACCAACCAAAAACTACTGCGTAGAATTATTCGAACTTTCTCACACACAAGCCTTGTAATATCAGCTCTCAAGACATATAATGGTTATGCGGGTAAAGTGTGAAGTTGGTTTCGAAAAAATGTAATTAAGTCCTTTGACGAGAAAAAACGAAATTACTTTCCGAACAACCCATGGCATTTTTCTCTTCCATATATTAAGCCTGTATGAAAAAAAAATATGAGAAATGTATGCAATAGTTTTAATTTTTAAATCCTTAATTTAGTTTTTGTGATAATTACATTTTCTCTTGAATTTGTAATGCAGATATCAATTTTTGCCTGATTCTGTGAGGTCAAAGCTATAGACAGTAATTTCTGTTCAATTCTGCTATCGGAAATTACTGACCTCAGTTTTTGGGCAGAAACTTTGGGCAGAAACTAAATTCAAAAAGAAAAATTTCCTTCTATAAACGGATTAACAGAAACATCAAAATCGGTTATCTCTTTATTAGAGGTGCTATCAATACATTTCGCAAGGAAAAAAAGAAAAGTATTCCGAAATTCTCCTAACGTAAAAAACATATTACAGAAACCTTTCAGATCAGATGATGAGGGGGGCAGGAACTGCAATTGCGCTTCTGTCTTTTATTCGTCCTATGGACCAGAAGAAAACGATGACCCGACCCATCAGCTGTTCCCATCTCCAGCCACGGAGAAATGATTTCCACTTCGATAAATTGCTCCAAATTCGTCCCACCCCTCCTTCACACTTCTTGAGCGATAAGTGAAAATTATTATTATTACTTTTTTGATTTGTTGTTTCTGTAGAACGTCACAAAATGAGATCTCGATTTCGCGAAGAAAGGTGGAAGGAAGAACACTGATGGCTATCATATTTGGAAAAATTCGGCCGTTACCATTTTATTGGATGAATATCGTTTTAAATTCTGAATGACCTTTCTTTTCAATTTCGGTTATTGCGCTAGGGAATGCTTTTCAATACAAAGATACAATAGTGTCAGAAGATAAATATACTTTATAATTTTCATTCATTCTTTATTAATTTTATATGTCTACATAAGACACGCTATTTCAGGAAAATGATGCTTATTAAGCTTGCTCATAGAAAAGATACGTTTCTTAGAATCTTTCGGAACGTAGACAGTTTCTAAGAGAAAAAAGCTGTAAGTAAAAGAGTAAATGTTTTAGAAGATGTGCTACTTTAAATAAACATTTTTAATAACAAGATCATTGATGAAACATCAGTGAATAGTCATATTTAGGCAACGCTAAACAACAAATGTTGTTGTTGACTAATGCTCACTTAATTTAGAAGTCAAACTCTTCCCCTACCACTAACCTCTCGAGAGGATTTTCGGCTCGCCGCATATTTAGAGTGCACCCATGCCGCATGGACACTATACGTTTACAAACATCCATGCCTTCTCCGGGATTCAAAACCGGGTCCTTCGGCACGGCAGTCAGCTGAGCTGACCACTATACCGGTTGGGCGGCGCACCAAAATGTAAACGACAAGTAGATTTCCGTTTGGTGTCGTCAAATGAAATGATTGCGCCTTATGTTCAAAATATATCATTTCGCTGCACATTAATTTACCCCAGGAATGTTCATCTCTGAGCTGTAATAAGAATCCCCCTCCTCCTACCACCAAATGTTTTGCTTAAGGCAATCTGATTTAAATTTAGTTACTTTAGAAAGGGTTAGTTAATCTGAATAATCTAGCGGTTCGCATAGCCTGATTACTAATTTTAACTCCAAGGTACGGCTTTGAATCCTACGTAAGGCTTGGTTATTCTTGCGGGTTACGGCCGAAAACATCGCGCCAAAAACATCGCGGACGAAAACGTCGCGGAGAAAACAACGCAAGGCGAAAACGTCGTGTACAAAACATAGAGGAAAAAAACATCGCAAAGAGAAAACATCGCAACTTATAGCACTTAATAGAATTTTAAACCGACATAGTTAACTAACAAAGAACCATTAATAAATCGTTTTTTCATAAAGTTTTTACTGGTAATTTTTCATGAAAAGTGTAATCTATAAGTTGCATTTAATTTTCTATGCTTAAGTTTCCTTCTTAGTTTTTCTGCAAAAATTTATTAGTTAATAAAAAAATGTGAAAGTAAACATTACCCTTCTTCATTCGTTTCAAAACGTTTTTTAAAACCCACTTGTCTGTTACTTGCTAGTTAATTATTCGCTGGGAACGGCCAAATCCGTTGAATAGAATATTTTTGCAAAAGAAAGGGAAAAAAATCGCGCGTCTTTCTTTCAGTGGTAAAGCAGGCAGAAATATTGTTTATATCAGTTGTTCGTCTGAGATGAATGGATGTGTGATGCCAGCCTTAGATGGACAGCCCTCGAGTGTTGTAGTCTAAATAATCGATATACTGTTAAGATCAGTTCACTTCTATTAGTGATTTCTTCGGAATTCCACAGATCGGCTTGTTATTTAGGTCACATGTTATTTCGTTCCCCTGAAGATGGCGGTATGCATATGAGCGAAAGGATAATTGGAATTTCAAATTTCATATATAGTTAAGAAAGGAAATACACTTTACAACCATAACTTACTTTCTTATAACAATACATGTTTTGTTGTCGTAGAAATGGTTCTTGAAATTTATATATGCATTTAAGGAAAGTTCGTGAAGGAAAAAATCCAAAAGAAGCAAGAAAAATATTGCTGTGACTAACCTCCTTTGTTTGATATAAGAACAAGAATTTATCGTTGCAAGGATGAAAGATTGCGCCTGATTACGTCCCCTGAAGGAGAGCATACCAACCTTTCGAGATGACCTTCGACCCGCAACATATCTAGAGTGCCCCCACGTCGCACAGACACTATACATTTACAAACATCCATCAGCCGGCCCATCGGTACAGAATTTAGAGTCACTAACCACTATTCCGATTGGGTGGCAGCGAGAAAAATAACATGTCAGACCATCCGAGACCAAATTCTGTGCATTGTAATAAATTAAATCTTAAGATTTAATATTTATTGAATTTTTTACAATTTTGGCAATACACTGAGTATTCCTAACTTTAACCTCGATAACGTTTAACTCTGAATTCAGTACGACTAATATAAAACTAAGCCGCATGCTTTTCGCTTTTGATTACCGTCTAGAAACAGTCCGAAACACTTTTCTTTGCAGCAATCGCTTGCACATTAGCTGGTACACATCTAAGGTTAGTTTGATTTCTTTGACATTTTAAAATTCGAGTAGGTTCCTATTAAGTATGCATATATAAATAAGAAAATTTTATTGACAGAGAAAACTTGAAAAACTTTGCATTTTACAAAACACTAGTTGCTCTTACCTTCATAGTGGGCTTTAAAACCTTTATGGCCGGCATTGTGAAAGGAAGTTTTATAGGTGATCAGCATGCGGTACTTGCTGCTTACAAGTACATCTGGAACTTTCGTTTCGCCGCAGAATTTGCCTACAAAGATTAAACAAAGAAAATAAATAGTTATTTTTTAATAAGAAGCACAGCATGTATACATAAATAACAATAAATGAATATGTTATATTCATAATAACATAATCAAAAATAAGCCAAAAATTATTACATAATATTTAGATAAAATATTTTTAATGAGATTAAATTTAGCCCATGAGACTACGCGCTAAGAGGCGATTACAAGCTCAGAGTAACATAAATATTTTCGTGTGTTAAGTAGTTGAATTAAGGAATTTCGTTAGAACCCTGATTTAGCAAGTGTTACGTATATTCAACCCATAACACGCACCTAAATTTTCAACAGATTTTTCGAAGTGAAAATATGAATCGTATAGATGTGGACATTGCATAACTTTGTACGGCCTATTAAATTATACACAACTTTTTCTGCACTTCATTTAAACTTGCTTCCTCGAATTATTCTAACTTAATTAACTGATTTCTTAAGGCAAGTTGAAAATGGCATAAGATATTGCAAATTTTGAAACTAAATATCCCAGTTAACTTTTGCCGTGCGGGAGTCAAACTTCATCTAATTTTATTTCTTCCCAACGGGTATGAAAATTTATCAAATGTAAGTTTAGAAAGCGGGAGAGGACATTAAAAATTATATTTTATTATTTGTGAAAAATTATTTTTTTTAAAAATTTGACTTTACCAAAACATGAATATTTTCGTGTTTTAAAACACTTCTGTAACTCGTAGCATATGACTACTATCAACGGTTGCGCAAAGAAAGGCGGGGTAAGGATTTTTCGGGTAAAGGGATGAGTATGTATAAACAGGGTGTTTCAGAACAGCGGTTACAAACATTTAGAAGTACAGTACACCTAAACGATAAATCACATTGCAGTGGATCGTTGGAAACACTTGTCTGGCGCGGTAGTAACGATACAAAACGCAAGAAACGAAGAGGGAGAGAAAATATGTTTATTTCACTTATTACATTAGAAACCAAGACGTTAGAGCAAAAACAGACAACGGTCGTCATTAAAGAAGGTTTTCGTCATCAAAGAAGGTAAATACGACCATATCAAATATAATTATTTGTTAAACAATGACATATTACAATGCCTAAGCAAAGTGTGAAATGTTTAATCATTTCATTCATTACCGGCTAGTTTTCGGCATTTATAAAATGCCTAGGTATTATTTAGAATACCGAAATACCGGATTTCACACTTTTCCGGTAACATATATATATATATATAATATATATATTCAATTACTACGGTTTAAATAAAGCCAAACTAAATCTGGCAATAAAAGACCCTTTTAATTACTACATCACGATTGTTAAAAACATTTTTGAATAAACGCAAATTTTTTAAAATTTAAAGCTACATTGAAAACTGAACATGAAGTGTAACGAGTTTTATTTCTTTACACAGTATAGTACAAGTTAAAAAAATTTTAGTTTTTAGTATATGATATTTTTTATTTTTCAGAAAACACTGAAAACGGAATTTTTATAAACGGTGAAGCACAAATGTCTAATATTTTTTTTTCTAAAATCAGTGAAATTACAATTAAGTTTTGCTTTCCCATGTTGTATTTACTTGAAAAGTTTTATTTCATGTCGATGCGTTGTGATCGATTTTTCTACTGCTCCGCTATAACAAACTTAATCTCTTTAGATAAACCTAAGCTAATTCTCCCGCGGTTATCCTAAGTTGATTCTGTAGATTTAACCATATTTTTAGCGAACGTTAGACTTGTATAATATACAGAGATAATAATTTATTTTTCAACATATATTCTTCAACATAAGTTATCAATGCAACAGAAATACCCTAAGTAATACAGAAAACTTAAATAAATTCCATATCAAAATTATTCTGTTAAATTAACATTCTTTACCAAGTCTGTGAATGTGTTTATTCCAAGCGGATACAAGCTACATGCCCCAAACTGTGAAAACAATTCCAAAGACGTCTCACATTGATTTAATTAGGAAGCCTAGTGTTTGTACAAGATTCGGCCACGTACCCATCTAAGTGGAATGTACACGCATCTAAGTAGCAACTCGTAAAGAAGAGTTGTTATGGCCCGCGTAAACACAGATACTGGAGAGATACAATTACCTTGCTCTTAAATACAAGTTTGCAGGACAGGGACAAAGCCTACAGATGACTTCGGGGATCGTATATTGAGTAAAATATGTCGGATATAGGACAGCAAATGGTTGTCAACAACTAGCGAACTATATTATCATAACCAAAGTAAACTGAACGTGCAGGCTGGACTTAATGTTCACCTTACACATAAAATTACTCATTAATACCTAATTAAAAGCAGTAAGCATAACATTTAGAGAAACGTGATTTTGTTTGTGCTTTGCGGAATACTAAATGTAAAATCTGGGCCGAGATTCACAGTGTGGGGCACGAAATGTTATACCATTCTCTCATCACATAAAATATTCAATATTAGATATTGAATAGTATAAACGCGTATTCGGGTACTTTTGTTCATGGAAAATCTGGTAGATGTCAGGAGAAGTCAGTATCGAACTTTAATTTGTCGGTCGCGAAACAACAGTTTTCACAATCTTTTATGGAATCATATCAGTACCATTCGCTCACTGAAATGAATCGGTTCTTTTTTATGGCTCGCCACTCACTAACAATAACCTTGATGAAAAAGTCCGGAACGAGGGGTGAATCAAGAGCGGTTGGACCGAACAGCTCAAATAATTAAACGAACAAGGAGATCAGGACTGTCTAGCGAAAAAAGAGCTGAATCAAATCAGATTTCTTTCAACTGTAGTACTGAGATTCCTTAAAACCGCACTTCTACACTCAACTAATAAAAAAACTCCAGAGAATTTTTTTTTCAAAAAGTTGGAAAATGATAAAAACTCACTTTGAACATGGGAGGATAGAAATTCTTTTCTACCTTAAAATGGGAACTGAACTTTCCTCGCACGCTTCCAACAAGAGCTCCGCTATTTTTTTTCCGGAATCAAGTATTCCTTCGCCCTTAAACTTAAATTCTTAAAGTGAAACAGTTTGTGAATGAATAGCAGATCTCTGTTCATGGCTCGCTTCCAGGAACAGCTGTCCATGAACTGTGAAAGCGCTGCAACTTCATTTTCTTCAATCGGAGTAAATTTGCTGAGTAAAATAAATCAGTTCTGAAACGGATTGTCCACCTTTCTTTGCAAAATGGTAGCTGAGTATTGAACAAGGCGGTTAAGTTGTAGAGTTCCTCACTTCGGAATTCTAAGTTAATGTTGGAAGTGAAGAATCTAAGAACTGATTAGCGAATAATCGCTTAAGTTCGGTGGACAAGAAACAACAAGATAGAAGGGTAACTAACCCTTTATTATTCCAATAAGATTTAACAAAACTCCGCCTGGGAGTGTACAAACAAAGCCCGCACTTGGGCGTGAACCTAAAAAACTAAGAATTAAACTAAAACTAAGATTAACTAAATAAATATAGCCGAAGCTATCAAGGTTCAAATCGAGTTGGCCCCTTAACGTATTCGACTACGAGCTTGCAAGGCCTGAGTACGGCCGAGCGTAATAACAGCTTTGAGAGAGAGAGAGTGGCCAAAAAGGCAGACGCGCGTAAATCAAAAACTCTGATTCTCTCTGATTCAGTAAGTAACTTCGTGGTTTAAATACCGCTCCTCCTGATTAAATATTCAGCAAGATTGCAAAACTACATTCTGGCCGGGAGTAGTAAGTTGAAGTTAAGAATTTGACAGGAAAGGAACTTAAAATTTAACTGTTAATAAAATTAACATAATCCTTACAAAGTATTGAACAAAAGGTAAAAGTTGAACTAAAGAAAATTCTGGTAGCGATAGAAAGGCGTTTTCGCCTACACTTCATACAAATACAAGACAGGCTTCATGTCTGGTACAATACAGGCTTCATGCAAATAGACCATTCACAGATCGTGTCTGAAATGTCTGAAGTCACTGGCTCTGTGTTGGTGAAGAATTGACAGTGCTCATCAAGTGTTTGCACACCTGACAATGTAAGTTTTTCTATGGCTACAGGTTTTTCTATACACACGCAGTGCAACGCGAGACTCACTCACCTCAAACGTTCTTCATTTCCTGTATGAGGTCTCCTGAACGTTACGAAGGAGGGAGACAAGAGCCCTCACATAGCCCAGATGTTAATCCACGTGATTTCTTTTTATGGGAATTTTTTAAAGGTGTTTGCAAGGAAGCCTGATGTAGAGCAACTCAAGACTCTTATCGTACATTTGCCCATCATGCATTTTCAAAACTCATGTATCGAAGGTTTTTAACACATGCAAAGTTTCGCTTGCAATCGGTTATGAAGCAAAAGAAGGCACATTTATGATATTCAGCACTAAACTCCCTTTCCATACTCAGCAAGTTGACTAAGTTATGCAAGTCACTTTCCATACTCAGCAAGTTAATACAACATTCCTTTTGTGATATTTTGGTGATAAATAAATATATAACAAACATTCGAAAAGATACCACATTTCGTGAGCCACTCTGTACTTTCCTAACTTCAAGTTTCATTATTTTCTGAACACGTTGCTTCCCCAAACATATTTCTTCCTCAGATACCTTCTATACTTGAGGAAGTTTAAAATGGCAAATCCTAGTTATTCTCTTCCTTAATCTTTTAACCCACGAGCCCCTAATCTGGTGTAAACATCCTATTGTATGAAATATTGCAATCTGTAACAACAAATTGCAATATTTTGTAATCACCATGAAATTATCTTAAAGGATTTTTGATAATGCGCTTTATAAATTACCGTATTAATAGACAATAAGGTTCTCTAAAATATAAAACCCTCTTTACATTTTAGGATAAATTTTAAGAAATTAAACTGTAGCATTATTTAAGAAATAAAACTGCAATATTATTTAAGAAACAAAACTGTAGTATGTAGCATGTATTCTTCATACATTTCTAACAGTTAAATTTTTTATCGTGTTCTGAAAATTACAGTTTCTCTTCGGAAAAGCAGCGAAAGAAT